GGGTAGGCGCGGCCGTGGGTGGCGAGGCGAGGTACTCAGGGTGAATGGCGGCCCTTGCCAAAGGCTCAGCGACCCCGCGTGGTTCTGCGGCGCGCGTGAGATGTAATGAAACTCGCGTGCCTTACCAACACCCTTCTATGGATTGGATGCCCTCCCGCCACAAAAATCGTATTACTGCCTACTGTTTTTCTACGGAGCTCACAGCTACGGGGGCACACGCGGCCTCACGTCCCGGTAGTTTCAAATGTCTCTCAAGTATTAATTGCATTTAATACTGTTTGTTTGCTGTTACTTTTTGAATTGTCATCGTATAAGCAATTAAATTCAAAATGTTTGGGTAACAAATAAATATTTTATTTCATTCGTTTATAAAATAGATTTATTAAGAAGCGAAGTTGCACCTTACTGTGCTTTTGCTTTTGTGGAGATGTCTTGATGTTTCATAAAAAATTGATTTGGTACAAAATTGGTCAGTAGTTTTAAAATAAGCAAGAGTATATTGAAGGAACATCTTCATAAATTAGAATAATTCATTCAACAATTTATATGTACAATTTGTAAAATTAGATATGATAGTCTTCTTTTTTTTTTTTTTTTTTTAATCAAGGATGATTTTTCTCTTTTTTAAAAATATTATTAATGTATTATAAATAATGATGCATTTCTTCTGAAGTAGACATGTTTAAATGGTTTGTGAAAAGTATGATCATTCTTGATGGTGGTTGCAGGTTTTTCAAGAAGTAGTGAAGATGATTAATAATTCTGTGAGATCACATGGAATAAATATATCAGATGCTTTTTGGAATCAGGAAAGTGTTGCCTGTCTTGACACAAAGCCAGAGACAATCTTTCCCAGCTTAGCTCTTGGGTTAGCACGTGATGATGGAGAGTATTTCAAGGTTATTTTGGAACCACAGTCTTACCTTCATAGGGATTTAGAGAACCACAGTCAGTTCAATTGTCACCAATTAGCTCTGGAACCATCTGACACTGGAACCGTTCTGGGTGAGTAGTTAGTAAAAAATAAAATATTGAAGAAAATAAACTTATTAATTCTAGGATATAAAATCAAGAAATATTTGTTATTAGATAGAACATTTCAGGGAAATTTAAATACATGATATGTGTACTATTGAGTGTGACTTAAGAGAAGTTGTTTTCCACTTCTTCAACCAAAGACACTTTTGAAGGTTTTGGAATTTAAACTCATGTAATGGGTTTATTATCAGAGGATAGTGGTGAAATGTTAACAGATTCTTTCAGAGAATGTATTTGTAGCAATAGGTTTTTGTTTAAATGAAAATAACAGGTTTCAACATTAAATCATATGTCAGATCTTAATTCCATGGTTGCAAATAGATGAAAATAAGATGTTGAATGTTTCGGAGCTAGAATATTGGAATATATAAAATTAATAATAACAACAGTGAAATTTAATATGAAAATAGTATGAACATTTTGGTTCAATTTTTGTGTTTGCTAATGTTTTGTTTTCTTTTCTTTTACACAGGTCTAGTGTTTCTAGAAGGACTTAAAGTAATATTTGATCAAACAAGTAGAAGTGTATGTTTCAGCAGTAGCTCATGTGGTGGTCCTCCTGTTCTCCTGGAGGGTCCATTTGCCTGTGACAATGGTAAGGCTTGTCCATTTTACATTTCATAGATTTCCACATGTATCCTCTTAATAGTGTGTTTCATGTGATGTGCAGATCCCATGAACTGTGTTCATAGAGATGATGTAGCTAGTGCTCTGACTGCAATTTCTGTCACAATGGGAGGTAAGTTTCTGTATTATTTAATTATGGTGGAAGATGACTTAGAACACTGACCAAAATGCACAAATTCTTGCATTTGCAGTAATTTGAAAAATGACACATTTAATAATACACATATGTGTAAATTATTCACTAAAGCTGTAAATTGTGTTCTTTAAATTCAAAATTTTGTCTATAAGAATTGATTTTGGTAGTGAGGTC